AAGTTTGGCATACTGATCAGTACAATTTGACACAATTTAGGCTCACCTAGGAAAGCTTCAAATGAAGAATTACTTCAAGCAGATTGGTCTATGGCCATGACTATGAGTAACTGACATGACTGATGACTGATATAGGAAGATTCAGTCCACTGTGAGTAGTACCATTCCTAATAAGGAGAGCCTGGGTTATATAAGAAAGCTAGCAGAGCAAACCAGTAAGCAGTTTCTGCTACAATTCCTGCTTGAGTTCATATGGTGACTCCCCTGAATGATGGATTGAGACCTGGAATTGGAAGCAAAATAAGTTATTTTCTCCCCTAATTTGTTTTTAGTCAATGTTTTATTACAGCAACATAAAAGCAAATAGAAGTCGGTCTTAATAAATTGGTTTTAAAATGGGAGATTAATCTGGATTATCTGAGTTAGCATAATGTAATAAAAAAAGATCCTTAAAAATGTGAGAGTAAGGCAGAACAGGAAGAATAAAGAGGTGAAAATGTAAGAAAACCTTGTCCCAACACTGACGTCTTGGAAGATGAAGGAATGAGGACAGGAGCCAAAGCTGGTGGCTCCCTCTAGAAACTGAGAAAGACAAGAAAATAGAGTCTGTCCTAGAGATTAGAGAAAAGAATTTGGACCAGTAGACTTGTTTATTGTAATCAAGAAGGCTCATTGCAAACTCCTGATAGTCCACTGAAGATAATCCATAACATATTAAGCTTGTATTTTTATAAGCAACTAAAGTCAGGGTGATTTGTTACAGCGGCCATGCTAAGTTACATGGGTATGTGTGGCAAAAACTCACAAAAAGCATGAAGAGTGTTCTGCTTAGATGCTGAATAAATACTGCCCAGAATTAAATGACATTCATAAAAACAAATTTCTTCTCATTTTTATGTATGGTTTTAAAACTTCCACAATTATAACCTTTACCATCTACCATATATTAGAATGCTTAAATTCAAGGGTCAAAACTTTTCATATAGATGCATAGCTCATGAGGTCTTTAGTAATCTTCATGACAGATTTTTTAATTAAATGACATGGACAAAACCCAATTCATGAATCATACAAATGTTTAAATTAAACATTATGATTTAATAAACTCTGCTGAGGACTGTCAAAAGCTATAAGAAACATGAACACTTACTTTTTAATACCAGATGTGAAGCAGTTTTTCCTAAAGTAAAGTCATAATACATTAGTGTCTCAGCATTATGACAGTTGGCACCCTGGAGACTGTCTTTATAAAGTCCAGAGACAGACTAAGGAAATTAATGATACATTTGTGTGAGATTCAACTTAAATATATAAAGTGCAGTAATATCCCTAGAACAGAGTCACATTTCCAAATTCACTAAAATAATACAATAAGGAACAAAAATTTTTACATTGACTCTCCTGCCTGGTGAAATCAGCTGATCAGGGAGTTAAACACAGTTGTTCCTGCCATAAGAGTTTAATCAAGAGAATAAAGAGGAACATAAATTTAATCTGGGGTCCACATACTAAATAGAATGCTACATTGAATTTGTACTTGCCAGACATGAGTTAAAGTACTCATTTGTTAAGTCATGCACCTGAAGTGCTCCATCCATGTACAAAGCATACCTTTTCCTAGTTTAAGTAATAGCTTTCTAAGGAGTAACAATAAATGTGCATATAATTTAAAATAAACAATTTCTGTGTTTAAGGCAATGCTTACATAAAAATGTCTAAGAATTGCTCTTGAAAGTGGTAGACCTAATGATGGTTGCGTTCTGAATTTGTGTTGATAAATTATGAGTTTGTCTGACATGTGTACATACATAGCAAAGTTTGTTTTCTTGGAACTTTGCCAGTACAGTTATTTTCAAGAAAGCTATTCATTCATAATTTGAGTTGTAAAAATAGGAATGATTCATGTCTACCACTTTCTTGTCAAAAGTCAAATTGTAAATTGATTTTTATTTAAAGATTTACTTTGAGGTCAATAATTTGGAAATATCAGAAAAGTGACTCTATCGCCAGTATATCTTGGACATGTATTATTCCCATGGTGTCCCTGAACTGAATCAAGAGTTCTCCTGCTCTCTACTTGTAGCTCAGTTTGGCAGTAACAATCACAGAATTGAAGGACTTGCTTGTCTGCTTCTTTCCTGAGTAAATTCCTTGAAGATAAAAAACAATTAAAAAAAAAACAAAAACAACCTAACTCTAAGTGTATAAAATTATAAAAGGATATATTCCTAACAAACATGTCTTGAATTTTAGATTTTTTAGAACTGTGTTCTGATTTCATTGTCAAGGACAAATTATGAAGTATTTCTACAGAATCTATACTGAGTTGTAAATTACACTAGAAAACATGAAGAAATGGTATATATTGATATGATACAAAAATGAAAGCTATCATGTCATTCATTCGGACAGACAACACACATTTTGATAGGAAGTTCTCTTGGTGATGTTTGACCTACTATATAAACAAACATGGAAGATAATAAACCAGTTTCACACACTCTGTTAAATGTGTAAAATGAACAATTAGTCTGGTGTCATAAGCAAATCATCTCAAATTTTCCATAACTGGAAGAAAACAAAACAAAACAAAAAACAAACATGCCTTGATGGATCTTGATACCACATACCTGTGAGAAATTATCAGTAGGCACAAGCTTTAATAGAAGAGATTGAATCTTGTTTTTCCACCAAAAGTTTCCTCAGCATGATATCTGAGGATGTAAAGGTGTTGCCACTCATACCTGACTACCTGAGTTCAATCCCTGGAACTGACAAAAGGTGGAAAGAGTGAAATGACTCCACATTGTTGTCCTTTGACCTCCACACATAGGCTGTGGTGCCCCCTACCCCCACACACAGCACAACAATACCCAAAAGAAACTAAAAGGCAAAACTACCCTTCAAAAGAAATTATATGATAAATAGCTATTATAAAACCCATCCGATGTTGATGATAAAAAAAATAAGTCACAGAAAGGTATTTGTTTTGCAGAAAAATCAAGTTGTAAAGTCAAATTGAATTCCAAAATAATGACAATACATATTAAATTATAAAGTTTAATAGTCTTCGGCAAAATATACTGTGTTAGCTCTTAGCCTTGTCATCTTAAAATTTAATGAACAGAAGGAAGATAAATGGCATAGCTTAAAATTTATAGACAGTATCAAGCACAGAATGATAACTAATGCAACAAAAACAAAGCAGGAGATAAAAATGGCTTGGAACATCTGGTAAGCTGTGTAGAATCCCAGACAGATTGCTATAGAACTCAAACAAATGTCTGGCACTTTTCATATCTTGCTGGTATAATTTCAGAGAAGTGGAAACCTCTTGGGAGTAGTTCCTTTAAAATTAAAAAAAAATGACTGGAGACTATAATTGGATGTGCAAATATAATTTGATTAGCAGGATTAAGTTCCTAAGACTCCTAACATAGAGACACACAGACTATTAAGATGGATATTATATTCCATTCCTTTACAATTCTATATCAGTTTTCTATTTTTGTCAAGTATTTTCTTTCATGATTATGACTCAAGTAACCAAATTCTAAATATGTCCAGGGTCTTGGCCTTCAGGGGCACAGTCAACAAGGGCCAGCGAGTGAAAGAGGAAAGGTAAAGGTTGAGTCAAAATTTTGGCTCAAGTGCTAGTGAGTTTGCAGACTGAAGGTCAGTAGGTCACAGATGGGCTGATCTGCAGGAGCAGTGGGGGAATGGCTTTTCTTTGAAAAATCAACAGCTTCATCAGTTGGAGGCAAGGAAAGAGTATGATTGAAGCTTTTTGAAACTCCAAAGCCCACCCTCAATGACATACCTTCTCCAACAAAGCCACACTTTTTTTTATTTAAGAAATTTTTTTATTCATTTTACACACCAACCACAGATACCATTCTCATTCTTCTTCTCACTTCCCACCAACCCTAGCTCCCCATCCCCTCCTCTGAAAGGGTAAGGCCTCCGAAGGGGAGTAAGCAAAGCCTGATAAATTCAAATGAGGCAGGACCAAGGCCCTCCCCCCTGAATCAAGGTTGAACAAGGCGTCTGACCATAGGTAATGGGCTCTAGAAAGCTGGCTTATGCACCAGGGATAGCTCTTGATCCCACTGCCAGGAACCCCCCAAACAGACCAAGCTACACAACTGCCTCCCCCTGCCTCTTCCAGTCCCATGCAGTTTCCACAGCTGTCAGTTCATGAGTTCCCACAAGCTTAGTTCAGTTATCTCTGTAGATTTCCCCATCATGGTCTTGATCCCCCTTGCTCATACAATCCCTCCTCCCTCTCCTCTACTGGACTCTCCAAGCTCTGCCTGGTACTTGGCTGTGGATCTCTGCATCTGCTTCCATTAGTTACTGAATGAAGGCTCTGTGATGACAGGGTATTCACCAATCTGATTATGGGGCAGGCCAGTTCAGGCATCCTCTCCACTATTGCTAGTAGTCTATGCTGGGGTCATCCTTGTGGATTCCTGGGAATTTCCCTAGCACTAGGTTTCTCCTCAACCCATAATGAATACTCATTCACATTTTGTTAACTAACTACCAATTTTGGGAGGCCTTTCTCATTTGTGTACAACTAATGGGGAAATTTCCAAATATAAAAAAATGCTTCCCTTTCTTATTTTTGTTAGAGAAAAACAGGGGCTGGAAAATCTGTTAGCTCCCAGATAAAAGAACGACACTGTCTCAAAAATATTGTGGAAAGTGAATGAGGAAATACCTGACATCAACCTCTGGCCTCTACAGACCTGTACAAGAGAGAGTGTGCTTGTATCCCCTCCACTAGGAAGCACAGAAGAATAAGTACTGGAAACCAGAATTGTCAGTCACAAGGGCCTATTTTCTTCAAAGGAAGGACATGAATGACATGTAGTCAACTGTAATGCCAGAGTGAAAAGTGGTCAATCAACCTGGTGATTCTTCCGCTATTCTTTTCAGTCAGCTTCCACTTGAATTTCCCCAATATCCTGAGCATTGTGTAGGCTCTAATCCTGCAATGAATAGAACACATTCCTATGAAAGAGGCCCCATTTACTTTACATTCTCCAACAATAGAATCTTATGCTTAACACATAAGGCCCTAACCTTACCTCTGTTTATTAGTCAATAGAATTCATTCTTATTGTAAAGATGACAGATTACAAGTTCTATTTTAAATGTTTAAGACAAGTAAATGACAAGGTCAATCTCTGGAAGATTTCAACCCAGTGCTTTCATGATGGCCCCTAGTTTCATTTTTCACATCCTGCAAATAATCCCCTGCAGGGTGTGAGGCTTGGGGGAGGGTAAGGAGTGTGCTGACAAAAAACACACATACACAGACATAAATATAAAGAAAGCCACTAACATACAGAAGCATGCTGCTGTCCACAGACCAAAATTCACATGAAGTGTTGAGAACAGCTGTATGAAAACCAGGAGAAATATGTAAAAGAGGTTTTATAAAAAAAAGTCTTAATTATTACTAGACTATCCTATGATTAAAAAAAATAAGAACCCCTCATCTTATCAGAAAAACATAGTATCACATATGTAAGTTTCTTTTTAGAAGTATTTTCTTGGGCTGGAATTGTAGCTTAGTAGTAAAGTACTTGCCTGAAAAGCCTTATATTTATTCCTCAGTATCTCTTCAATAAGTAAACAAGTAAAACTAAGCTATTATTTTTCCCATTTAAGTCTATACTTAAATTCCTGGATAGGGCTTTGCTTGCTTGCTTTTATATCTAAATAAAATAATTTAGGGCTGGTGACATAGTTCAGTGACAGAGTATTTGCCTATCATGAACAAGACCTCATGTTAAATGCCCTGTACTCTAAAAACAACAAAATCTCTAGAGTATCTACTAAGTATCTGATAAAATATAAATATATTTATTTTTTAAGTAACACATATATACATTTCAACTAAAAAAGATATTTGTTCCAAATAAATGCTTTAAATTTTGACCATGATTAAAAGTTAACACGTATCTATGATTTATTTGATTTTTCTACACTCCACTTATTAATCCCAATGAGGGGAGGAAAAAGACCACCAACCTAAATCATCATGGCCAAATTAATCAAAGAAAGCAATTAATTAAAGTAAGCTTTTTTATTCACATGCATAGGCATGCCCCTACTCCCCAGTCCATAAGGTGGGGTTCAAGAGGTCAGCACTGGATGTGAGGAAGACAAGGCTTTTATAGCTCAGGGTTAAGGGGTTTTCAACTCGGAGGTTTGGCTGGCAAAATAGGAGGTATTATAGGAGTAGAATGTCAGCATAACAAATTAGTCCCTCCTGAAACAAAGACATGGTTGCAAGGTGGGTAAAACAAGGTGGTCATATAACCTTTTGAAACAATGGTAGGGTTTGCAAGATGATTATAGATGACTTTTTGAAACAAAGACATGATTGCTGTTTCCAAATAACCAAAGTGAGAACCATTTATAATTAAGGTTATAGATGGGGCATACCCTAATCCTAGAGAAACAGAGGTTTACTTGTAAACAGGAATGAACCTAATTTGTCTTTACTGTAAGATGGCTTTTAAGTATAAGATGGAGGCAGGCTGGTTCTTCATACTAAGTACTGATTTGCATCACTACTAAATAAGTATGCAACTTCACTATAAAACTCATGTCTATATATACTCTTGTTGAAATAACATTTTATTATGCTTTTTAATTTAAAAATAATTTAATTATAATTTTAATCCTTCACTATGGTGCTTTTTATGTCAATCTTTATTGTGAGGGAGATCAAATATTACCTACCTTATGTTCAAATTAACTATACATTACAGACTTGTACTTTACAATTGTTTTTAGTGTTTGTGCTCCTTGTGATTTTTTTTCTCTTCATGAATTCATGCTATCAGGACATATTAGTATATATTCTTCCACTTCTCTTTTCCTTTATATTGGCAAATTTTGCTATGCAGTGAAAATTATTAGGACTTCGTTTTATATAATCAAGTTTTTCTTTAAAATAACTGTTCACAGATTGCAAAGTCTTTTCCATAGCAGTTCAAAACTCAGTTTTGTTATTTTTCTTTAGATAGACACCTAAAAGTCACCTTGTAGAATTTTTGAATTAAGGATATCTAGATAGCTGAACTCATATGAATACCATGTGTAACCCAGGCTCTGGCACTTCCCTGTCCCTATCCTTGTCATTATCCAACAAGCTTTCTGGTGGGCATGATAGTGGCCAGATGTGGTGCAAGACTGGCTTCAAACTGCTTGACCACTAACCCAGAAGTCAGCTGTACCCTGCCTTCCCGAGTGATAGACAGAAAAAGTCAGCTATGCCTTCCATTCCTTCAAAAGTGAGACAACCAGGAGGTCAGCTGTGTTCTTGCTTCACCAGATTGAAAATCCAGTTTCTACTAACTTTTGATTACTTTCCAGCATCTTCAAGTATTTATTTGATATTATAATTAATATTTTAGAGTTTAAACTAGCTGTTATCTGTAAGAAGTTTATTTATTCTGTACTTAGTTGTCCCACATCAGAAGTGAAACTCAAGTCTGTAAACTTTGCGTCATAATTAGAAAGAGTTCACCATGTCTATGTTTAAATAGGTTTCCAAAAATAATCAGATAATTCTAACCAAAAGAGGTTTCATCTTTTCTCAGATTTTCAAAAATAATTTTGACTAACCTTTAACTCCCCCTCCAACAATTTTATCCCACTAAGGATAATAGCTGGGCAGAAGATAAGGCTTGGCAGTTAATAGCTTGAACTGCTCTTGTAGAGTAAATTCTCTACACCACATGGAGTAAGTTCTCAACATCCACATGGCAGCTCACAACCATCTGCAACTTCAGTTCCAAGTGTATGTCTGATGTATCTGTCTTCTCCCACAGATACCTGAACTCACATGCCCATACCTACACAGAGAGACATACATACAATTTTTTCTTTATCTTAAAAAAGAATAATATTAATGTTTTTGTCATTGGCTGAAAATTATTACTTTGGTTTTTAACAATCTCTTATATAATTATTTCCAAAGTATACTGTAGAATCACAAGTCTTATAACCAGTGTTGCAGTGACTATAAGCAATAATTATAATAAGCAATACTAACAAATATTTATCTTTATTGAAAATTCAGGAATAATATTAATTATTCAATAATAATTTATGTTAGGGAAGAGATACATACATCTCTATGTAGGTCAATTATTTAATTTGTAGGGTGTTATTTTTATTTCTATTAATGACCAAAAAAAAAAAAACCCATGAAACATAAGTCATATAGTTAAGAGACCTGGCATTGTTTCTGTTTCTTTAGTATTTAACCAGTTTTTACTGAAAGTGTGCATATTTTAAGAATACTTGTTTAACTGGAGTCTGTTTGAAGGTGTATGAATCTCAATGCCTAATGATCTATAAATGGGATGAAGAGTTCATTAGCATATCATACATCTCCCAAAGTGTCTGAAAGACTTTGACTCATCTTTTATCTGCAGGTTTTCTCTGTTTTGGAAAAGACTGTTAGGAGCTGTATCCTGGGATCGTAGCAGTACAGTCAAAAGGAGAGCTGATGAATATTACCCAAAGGGTGCTGTTAGCAAGATAACCCTGACATTTCAAGAAACTTGAGAAACAATGGGAAAGAAATATTTTTAATCTATTTTGTGGCTACTATAAACAAATTCTGACAGAAATGTCCAAGTTTAAAACTATGGATGGTAGATTTCCAGCCTTACAATTCATAATGCATGCCTATCATTTTACAGAAACTCTGATGTTCATGAAACATTTAGATTTTAAAATAAAAATTTGTAATGTAAGATAATGTAAAATAAAATACATGTAAGACCACTTCACTATTATGTGTCTTTAATAGTAAACATTGCAGCAATTTCAGAACTTTTTGTATCTATCATGTCTTTAAGCATATGTCAATAAGAAAAACCACTTGGCTATCCCTGTAGAATTTTTACCTAGTTAGACAAGATCAGAAGATTCCATTGAATTATTGTACTTATTATTTAGTAAACGGAAAACTCCTGATTAGATGGTATAGTATACAAATTAATAAATACTCTAAAAAATATAAATGGAAAAGTTAAGACAAATGAGCTTACTTTTCTAAATAAATAAATACCTTTTATCTGGAAAGCTGTCAGCCAGCAAATTTGTTACATATAGCCACTAAAACTTGGCCAGCAACTCTTTAGGGAAATCTAAAGGCATAAATCATGCTTTCCCCTGAAGTGAGAAAACTAGAAATGGAGGCAAATATTGAGAGAGAGAGAGAGAGAGACAGAGACAGAGACAGAGACAGAAAGAAAGAATCAGCCAGAATGGCAGTAAACAATTCTTTACATAAAGTTTGGTCAGATCTCTGCTATATTCTGAACCCACAAAAGGGATCCTAAACACTAGACAGGACTAGACTGGAATAATTTTCTGTTAATGTAAGCAACAGCTTATGTAGAATTTGAAGCTTCAGTTTGGCAAAATTAACCTTCCAAAAAGGCTAACATCATGTAAATTTAATTCTAAAAGAATAGGAAAGCTGGGCGGTGTGGCGCACGCCTTTAATCCCAGAACTGGGAGGCAGAGTCAGGCAGATCTCTGAGTTCGAGGCCAGCCTGGTCTACAGAGCGAGATCCAGGACAAGCACCAAAACTACACAGAGAAACCCTGTCACAAAAAAAAAAATAGGAGAAAATATACAGAGAAATTTTTATGGACAAAAATGTCCCCAATTATATTAAAAGCATAAATTCAACAGATTTAAGAACGTACCAATAAATGAAGATAAATGAAGTAGAAGAAATTTAAATTCTCTGGGGGAATTAACTCTGTAGATAATGTGTTTATGCCACAAGCATGAGGATATGACTTCAATCCCCAGCACCCATGTGTAAAACCAAGTATGCACCTGTAATCCTAGCCAGGATTGGGTGGGAGTGGAGTCATGAGAATCACCTAGACACACTGGCCAACCAATTTGGCCAAACAGCTAGTTTCAGGTGTTAAGTGAGAGAGTGGGTTTCCAAAAATGGGGAATGTGGATCCTTAATAGTAATGACACCTAAGACGGAGCTCTTGTCTCCATGTGTATGCTTACATATGTGCACGTGCACAGACATATTTACACATGTGTGTTTATGAAAACGTGTTATGTGTCTTGAACAAAACCATCCTCTGAGCAGAATAACCTCCATTTTCATAAGACCAGCTGAATTTCCTTTCCAAAGACCATCACAACTAGGCTTGTTGATTGTTGATATTGATAGGAAGGAATAAGGAGAGTTAAGGGAATGTGACCTGGGAATCCAGACACCACATAGAACCAGTTGTATGCAATTCTGCCCTTGTTACCTATGACCTGAGAATCTCAGGAAAAGTCTAGAGCATGTAGACTGGGGAGGACTAGGAAATGGGGCTCTATCTACACAACCATGGTAGCACCATCACCCACGGTGAGTTTAGAATTTCCAGACAATTGCTTTGTGGTTACTCACACTCTAGCTTATAATGTCTCATTTATGGTTCATAAGCCTCCAGCGGGAAAGTGCTGTGATGGAACTTTAGTCTATCATTGAAACCATAGGATATGGGAGGGACTGTTACTTAGTTTCCCTGAGGCAAAATATTAAGACAGTATGAAAAACTATACCTAGCAATATTATAATCAAATAGTTGTTGACCTATCAAACTTAAAAGAAACATATTCAAAGTAGAGAGAAAAGGAGCCTTTGTGTGCAAAGAGCAGTGATATGAATCTGTTGACTTCCCTGAAATCCAGTGTTATATAATATGCTGAAGGAGCTGAATAAGAGGGATGGGTGGAGCTGCCTCCTGCCTTTTTGGAAGCAGAGAAAAAATATTTTATTTGTTGCCTTTGAGCTGTCCAGGTTCTTCCACAGGAAAACAGATTGGCTTTCATCACATTGTCCTAAATCTAAAGAAAAAAGAGTGGCCACATATTTACAGTGACCTGTTTAATAAGAATTGTCTCTGAGGTCAAAATTAATTAAACTGGATGTTAAAAGGACAATGCTTATGTAAACATTCAACCCTGCCATTTCTTCCCTGTTTTTAACCTATGGGACTGAAAATAAAATAAAAGTAAATTTATTAACAGAAACACAAACATATGAAGCAAAACTTAGGCAAAGATCATTGGAGAGTATTTTTTAACAATATAATTAGAGAACAAATATATGTGCGCAGACATATATGTGTTTGTAATAATACACACAATTTAAAAATTGTCTTAGCAGTCAGGCTAAAGTGAGCTGGTCAATAAGAACCCTATGTTAACTAATACATAGAACACAGTATACCCCCACATTATATATTTTGTCATGAATAAGTGACACTTTCTAACCATTGACTATACACAGAACCATTAAGTTGAATTCCCAAAACACTCCAAGTACTGAAATTATTTTTATTATAAACTTATCAAAATAATAACTAGTGCTTCTATATTTGAAAACTAAGCATTGTAACTTTAGAGTACAAAATAATAAAAATAACTGAATCAAAATAATGAAAACCTTATATATCAAAATATAGAAAATATATGTCATCTGAAGACAACTATATATTGACATCAGATACCATGCATTTCTCTAGCTAAAGAGTCATCATCTAAGCTACCCCATTCATGAATCAACACCCAGTGACTACAGGATTGTGTTTCAAGCATCCCCTGTTGTAAGAACAGAATATTAATAAGGGCATTAAGTGCAAATATCAAGAGGTTCAATTACATACTTGTACTACCATTTTCCATTTACAATCCTTAAAGGCCAGTGTTTCTTCAACATTTGCTGCTAACTGCATAGTTTTAGCCTTTGGTTTGACAAAGGACTGTGGAGTGTTATCCATTGGCCATGCCTACTAGTATTTCACTTAATCAAAATTTTCATTTCCTAACTCAAAAAAGGAGCAAAAAATTTACCTGATTCTAGAATTAAGTAGAATTGCTAAAAATAATTTCTGTAATTGAAATAAAATTACAATTCTATATTTCCATAATTTTTAGAAGTATTTTATAAACGTATCTCTACTTAAGGTCCATTCCATTACAACTGACATATATCTTAAATCAAAGAAAATGTACTTGGATTATTCGGAACTCAATTTCTAGGTGTAAAAGGTACTCCCACTTTTTTTTGAAACTTTTAATATCGATTGAATCACTACTCACTCATCAGAAGTATTTTAAAGAACCACTATTTTTAAATAAGAATTTTCTACTTTAGTTTATGATCTCATTTCAAGACTTCTCAAGTTTTTAGGTTAAGTGGTTATTTGCTTAGTAGTCATTCTATTTCTAAATTTTATACTTAATCTTCTCAGAAGGCACCACAGCTAGGCTTTGAATTCCAAACTTTTACTACATCTCTTATAGAGACTGTTGCTACATGACCACAGATGCGCTGTCCAGTAGCCAAGCAAGAGGCTTAGTCATCCCTTATGTCCTACGTAATCCATGTATTTCCTGACCATGTAATTTGCACACAGCGTGATCACATAATCTATGTACACATGTGGCATAGCTACATAAACCCATGTGTGCATGTGCGGGGGAATCCATAAAAAGCAGGTCACAGACTCCTCCCCCCTCTTCTTCTTCTCCTTCTGCACATGTCTTCCAAATTGGCCTAAGCACATTCTCTTCTGCCTCCTTCCTCTAATAAACTCTTATAGTGGGTTTTTCATAGCTCATGGCTTTTCTCAAATGGGTAAACAGCGCCACTTAATGAGTAGCATTGCACTGCATAAAACCAACAGACAATTATTCTAATGAAAGAAACTGCAAAATAATGTGAATTTTCTATTTTCAGAAACCATTGTTGTTGATATTTGACTTGTTTCTCAGAAATATGAATGTGTGAATGTTTTTTCCTGTGCATAAAACATTAGGAAAATATAATTCATGTACATATAAATATGAACATTAGATTGACTATCTTCAAATTACTAGTATTTAATCACATTGACATAATCACATCTATTTAATATAGTTCAGGATAACAAATCCTATTTTGTTCTAAATAAAAATAAAATTATTTTATAATCACTTAATAAAAATTGTCCTATGAATTTTTTGGGGGTTTTGTTTTTTTCGAGACAGGGTTTCTCTGTGTAGTTTTGGTGCCTATCCTGGATCTCGTTCTGTAGACCAGGCTGGCCCTGAACTCACAGAGATCCTCCTGTCTCTGCCTCCCAAGTGCTGGGATTAAAGGTGTGGGCCACCGCCGCCCAGCATCCTATGAATTTTTTTAATCCTAGACATTTTACAAGCTTTGATATCTAAATGGTGCTATAATACATACCTTGTTATATGCCTCCCAATCTTTTTCTATATGGCACAAGATCTTTAAATGTAAATTCCATGCCCAAAGCAACCTGTGATGCTAGTACAGAGGAAGTATAAAATATCAGTCACCTTGCTCTCATCAAAAATACACACTTACATTTCCAAAGAAATAAACAATGATTTGCTTTTTGTTATATCCACAAAAAGTGTTTTTGTTTTTTTTTTTCTGTTACGTTATGAAATAAAACACAATACTGAGGTCACTTTAACTTAATTTTATATACTAGATTTATAGTGTTTATATTTATTGGACTATGGCATACTTTTAACAAATTAATGCTCTTAATTCTTTGAGATTTTTTTGTTATTTTATATTATTTATATTAAGAAATATTTTATTCATTTATTTTGATCATATTCAACCCCCTCCTTCTCCCAGATCCTTACCCACCACCCTACAGACTCAATTTCATACAAGCTCACACACACATTGTTTCTCTCTCTCCCTCTCTCCCACCCTCTCTCTCCCTTTTTCCCTCTTTCCCTCCCTCCATCATTCTCTCCCCAATGAGTCCAGTTTGTCTTGCCCTACTACTCCTGGGGATGGAACCTACCTTGGAGTGCAGTCTACATACCAGGTCTCACACTATTAAAGAAAGCAGCAAACCTCAGCTAAAGGTGGGACTTCATGCCCATGTCCCTGCCTCTGTGCTTTTTTTTTTTTTTTTTTTTGGTTTTTCGAGACAGGGTTTCTCTGTGTAGCTTTGCGCCTTTCCTGGAACTCACTTGGTAGCCCAGGCTGGCCTCGAACTCACAGAGATCCGCCGGCCTCTGCCTCCCGAGTGCTGGGATTAAAGGCGTGCGCCACCACCGCCCGGCTGACCTCTGTGCTTTTTTAAAAAAATAAAAACTTAGTTGCTCTTGCTGTAGTCTAGACAGTAGCTATTTCTATTCTACCTTACTGACTCTAAAACAAAAGAAATGTAGCTTTAACCTACCCTTTACTTTAGTATAAGTTGGTTTGTTTTGAAGAAAACTTGTGAGTTTGGAAAAATAGGTCTGTGATGTTTGGTTTGGAATTACAAACCAAAGCCACTACTGTGGCGACAACTCATCTTTTCATATTTTTATCTTTTAAAGCAGAATCACCAGCAACCAATTCATCCCCACATTTTTCCTTGTACAATTTGATAGTAGAGACACGTTAAAAGTTGATTCTACATCAGGTCAAAACAATTATTTGTACAGGACAGAGAAGGGAATGCCTGAAATAAAATCACCTTGGGAGGGGAGTATGGGCTGTTAATTCAGGTTCAATAGAAGTGCCTAATAGTTTTCTGAAGAGAAAAGAGAGAGTTGATTTCCATACAATATGTAACTCATGCAGATACACATCCCAGGTTAAGTGTCAATGGCCCAATGGACTGTGCTTCTAAAGAAACAAAGAAAAACTAAGCTAAGAAAGTGAATTTTGATATACTGGCCTTTTATGTATGGCCCAACAGTATGACCTACTTAGAAATTGTATGAGTGTGATGCTAGATTTAGTTTTGTAGTACAAGTCATCTTTAGTGACACTTGGTAGCAGGGAAAATTATCAAAATTCTGGTTATGAAGTGTTATGGCTCTTCATTTTATATTTTATAAGTAATCCAGAAAGTTGAGAGCTTTGATTAAATCACAGAATATTAGTGTTTCTTTTCTTTTTTTTTTTTTTTTTTTTTTTGGTTTTTCGAGACAGGGTTTCTCTGTGTAGCTTTGCGCCTTTCCTGGAACTCACTTTGTAGACCAGGCTGGCCTCGAACTCACAGAGATCCACCTGGCTCTGCCTCCCGAGTGCTGGGATTAAAGGTGTGCGCCACCACCGCCCGGCTTTCTTTGCTTTCTATTTCTAGTTTTCCCCATTGATTTCAAAGTGAGAATATACTGTAAGAAGAAGTAACTTGCAGCTTAAGATATGCTTTTTTAAAGGGGTCCAGTGATCCCCAAGTCCATGAGGCTTACTTTTATTTTATTTTTGAACGAAGTCTTATTATGTAGACCTGAATAGTCTGAAATTCAGTATGTAGACCAGGATGGTCACAGAGATCTACCTGCCTCTGCCAATTGAGCGCTGACATTAGTCATTACTACTTCTATACCAATCACAAATTCAGTCTCTACTTTTACCTCCTTCTAGATAAATTTTATTCAGATACATAACTACATAACTAGCCCCACTTCCTGACAGAGCTAATCTAGACAGAGATCATATCTTCTAAATCCATGGCACTGCAAAAGGAATGGATACCTCTATTATTCTGATGGAGAACATTGACAAAAAGGTTTGAAAGGTACAAAATACAACCCAATAGCACCTTATAAAATAGTAAAAATATGTAAAATCTAAAGTTAGTGCAATATCAAATAAATAAAACAGAAGACAAGGATAATAGTTAATTATCGGATAGACATATAGCACATAAATTCTAATTAAGAAGTAAGGTTTAGATACTCAATATTAAAGATGTGTTTTTAAAAGGTAGGTTTTGAGATGAATGAAGAAAGGCAGCAACAAAAGCACTTTGAACAAATTAGGCAAGTAAATTTGAAAAATCAAGAGAATAGATTCTTAAAAATAAAATTTTTCCAAATATAGTAAATCAGAAATGCAGGAGCTAAATAAAAAAAGCCCAAGCCGGGCGGTGGTGGCGCACACCTTTAATCCCAGCACTCGGGAGGCAGAGCCAGGCGGATCTCTGTGAGTTCGAGGCCAGCCTGGGCTACCAAGTGAGTTCCAGGAAAGGCACAAAGCTACACAGAGAAACCCTGTCTCGAAAAACCAAAAAAAAAAAAAAAAAAAAAAAAAAAAAAAAAAAGTAAAATATCCATGTCATTTTATAGATGAGTCTGAGCTGATATGTGAATATTAGATTATTTCAATTTATATTCTTTTAGAAAACATAAATGTAGACCATCCCCAATTTACTTTATGTGATGAGTACATTGTTGATTTGAAAAGTATACAGGTTAATTACTACTATAAGTATTTATGCAATTATCTTAATAACTAACTATCACAATACAGCAACAAATACAATAAAACATTCTCAGGCTGGTTTTATTATAGAGACTAAGGTAGGTCTAATCTTAAAGAAAAAGTATTTTCAGTTATTACAGCAAATTAACAGATAAACAACAAAAATTATGACTAAGGGAAAGGCAAAAATATTCAATAAAGATTATCTTGCACTCATAGTAAAGTCAAATTACAGACTAGAAATAGTAAACAACATCACATCTTAATAAGGAACACCTGTGAAATACTCTTAGAATGGATTATAATCAATTGTGAAACACAAGAAGCTGTCCAGGAGCATCTACCTTTACAAGAAGCCATAAAAATGAAGCATATTAAAATGTTGTAAAATTCAAAAGAAGAAAATGTTATTCTCACTAAACATACATGGTTAACCATATGTTTCAAAAGAATTTAGGATTACCAAATTAGTAAGAATATTTCATTAGATCCCTGACAGAATATAAACAACAAAAATCATCAACTGAATTGAATTTTTTTTTAATTTTAGCAAAATTAGGAGTGCATAATTAAAAATAAATAGCATCCACTATAACAACAGTATGTGGACTGTAATAATCTAAATTCTGTCAAAAGACTTACAAATAGAAAAAGGAAATACATGTAATGTATATGAATAAGGACTAATTTAGTATAAAATTCCATATTACCAAAAGTAATGTAATGAACTTATTACTAAGATGCATTATTTTTAAATATCTTGTTTTATGGAACTTTGAAAACTTAATGCTAAAGTGAATGCCAAATAAATGCTTAAAAAGAAGCAAAACAATGAGAAAGGAGAAAATAATATATTCTAGTTCATCAGATTATGAAGCTATCAGTAAGTGTAGTAATTAATACAGTATGGTATCATCTTTGGTTTAACCCAATGATGATGCACTTATCACATTAACCAAGAAAGGTTTAGCAATTTGTGTATATGCAATCGTTGTGTAAATATACATGAATACATATACAGACATACACACATACAATTTTCACATAATTTTAAACTGTCGAAGTTCATGGATACTTAGAAAATGGAGAAATTAAAGTAAATATAAAACAGTTTTCAACGTAGACAATCACAATAATATATTTAAAAATGAAAGAATGAACATAAATCTAACATTGACATTATACAGGTTATACTTTTGACATAGAATAAATTTGAGATACTGAATCCAGTGTACCTGAATTCAAAGGGTTCTATGCTTAATATACCACAAAAGTAAATAAAAAATGTTATGAAAAATCTCAAAAGTCAAGTGACAGATACTGAAGGCAAACTTTGAACAAGATATCTCTTGAAGTTTGAATATGTGAAATTATATATCAAAAATAAACATATTAACCATGCAATTGTGATTTTGCATGCTTGTGAAGCTCAATAATATATTAAATTATAAAATGTATTGTCCTTGATCTACATAGCTTAATTCTGTATGTTTAATTAATCTGAAAATATTTAAGTATTTTTATCATTGGAAAAAGTTATATTATACATGGGCTTGCCTTCTTTTGAGCACATGAATCAATTATAAACACTCTTTTCCTTTCTTTCTCTTCTTTAGAGAATTCTAGATGATTACTAAAACGGCATATTTTTCTATTAATTTTCATCCTTTAAAATATGTTCCTATAGACTTTAAGGAAGTCACAGCTCGAAAAGTTTGACTAGAAAATGGGCTTAAGTAAATTATATAAATAAATTTTAATATAATTTTTCCTCTTCAAATTAAAAAAGATAAAGGAAATATTGAAGCAAAACTGGTGAAAACTTACTCTACCCATCATAAAGAGAGAAACCTTGTACCTACAAGTTAATGAAGCTTTGTGAGGTTTGTAATGTATACTGTAGCTAGAGTTTTCCTTCCTGGCCCACAGTCAGGACAAATCTCTGTCACCCGCCAGTCCCACAGCTGCTCAAACCCAACCAAGTAAACACAGAGACTTATATTGCTTACAAACTATATGGCCGTGGCAGGCTTCTTGCTAACTGTTCTTATAGCTTAAATTAATCCATTTCCATAAAT